ACGAGAACTGAAATGTGCCAAAATATTTGAGTCTCTTTAGAAGAGACTGGGAGAGGGAGAGAGGCAGTTTTGTTCAGGAATGACGTATTATTAAAAGAGAAAGAAGGAGGAAAATGTGAGAGGCAAAGAAATACAAAGAGAGACAGAGAAGGAAGAAAGGACTTAGGAGAAACACGCTCAACGGCACTTTCGTATCTGTCATTATATTGATTCTGTAAATATTTGTGCACTTGTATAGAAAAAAAAGAAAGAGAAGATGAATAAGAAGTTATTATCGTTATTATTATTAAATATTATAATTATATTAATTATTATTATTATTATTATTATTATTATTATTACCATTAATTGCTTCGACTTTATTCTTGTTAATTGTCATCGTATCACCCGTATTCTATTTTCTCGAGCCATTTTGAGACACAGCTCGTTTTAAATCACGCGAACGAAGGTCAGTAACACGATTGTATTTTTTAAGTGCTAATCAAAAATCCCCGACGACAGCCTTTATTTCTGTCTTTTTTTTCGTCTTTTTTTTTTTAGCTGGATCCGTGCTCGAGTATGCGGCGTCGTTAATGCGTTATGCCCGACAAATCAATTAGGATTTCCGTAGGTAATGCGTTAACAGTGCGCGCGTAATGTACAGAGAGAGAGAGAGAGAGAGAGAGAGAGAAAGGAAGAGAGAGAGAGAGAGAATGTGTGAGTTTGGAATGGTCCCTGTTCGAAGTGTGTGTACATTAATTACCGTTGCTCCCGAGTATTTTTCTCGACAATCCAACTTCATTTTATGTGTAAAATAAACGTACAACATCAAGGAGGAAATCTGTATGTATAGGTGCATACGTTTTGTATATACGTACGGTATATACGCACACATGTATGGGGAGAATCGAACGAGAACCGAATATCAAAAAAACCGACCATTGTTGTTAATCTCGAGTCAGCTATTTTTATGCCTTTTCGTTTCATCCAGCTGTTCTTCCTTCTCGAGCCCGTCAAACACGTATGAAACAAACGTAAAACCGGAAGTCTGAAATAGTCTGAATATACGAAGCGTTGCCTTATTCTTATCCTTTTTCTAACCTTTTTCTTTTTTTAACGTCTCCCTGTCCTTGGAGAAATGCGAAATTTTTGAAGATTTTTCCTGACGGAAACTGTGTCTAGCAGAGCGATATCGTAGAGTTGTAACGTCGTTTAGAAGTCTGTGATGTGTTAGGTTAATCGAGTCGCTGTGTAGATCGTTGAGCATGGTGCGGGACCGAATTTAATTCCATTATCATTATGGGACCGTAAAGAATCACGAGAACACGCCAATAAAAGTGGCGAATTGATAACATTGCTCGGCGTAGACCGCGGAGTTTTATGCATTTTTTTTAGAAATTCCAAGGTGCACGTAATACATAGAGATAATGTAAAATATCTCTGTAACGTGTAGTCGATAAAACAGTTTTCTATCTGAGTTTTTGATTACATTCATAAAAATGTGAACTTGCATAAATATCCGCAGCCTACTTCGATGAGATCGGCTCGTATATCCGTCTTAAATGAAAATAAAGCACGAAGTGCCAGATGGCGTGCGGTACTATAATTAGCAATAACGAGGCGCGAAGCTAACAGCGCACAGCCGCGATAAAAGATTCTAAAGGAAAGAAAAAGAAAAGGGAAAGACTAAAATTAGCTTACGCGTTAACTATATGTTGTCTATCGTTTAAATAGACCGCGGGTAGGAGATCCAATGGACCGATTGTTCGTGGAGAGAAGGGAGAAAAAGAAATGAAGAAAGCTATTTATTTGAGACGCACGAAACATTAAACCGAACGAAAAATGCGTTTCATTTGGAGTAGAATTCACCTTGAGATTGAATATTCACGATTATTGCTGTTTCTCAAAGATATTATGTAGATAGACGATAAACTGGAAAATTATCGTCATATAAATACACATATAGATATATATATAAACAGGCACATATACATACAGTACCGCTCATAATTATTTTATATTTATTTCTATAATTATTTCACTTTTAGTATAAAAACTAAGCTAACATGTACGATTTCTTGATGAAACAATGAACACTATCTCGAATGAATTATAGTTTATAATTAATACTGTTTTAATTGAGTCGTGGATTATAGTATTAAATTTCAATCATTCCACTCATCGATTTTTAAAGTCATTCGAATAATTATGAACGGCAGTGTATACGTATGTGAAGACCACAGAGAAAAGACACGATAAGTCACATTTTTCATATGAGAGCAGTTTTAAAATCCAATACCTTGTTTTGTTAGTCAATCACATACTATCAGAACTACCTTTGTATTGAATTTGATTATGAGGTCGTCCTTCTGTAAAATATTTATATCAGAACTATTGATCTCGAGAGTACTATGGTTATCATATTTTATTTTTTTCACAAAATTTCATTGGATGTGTCATCTATCGTTAAAACGCATATATCTTTGGACAGAAAAATAGGTTGTTCCACTTTTTAATTACGTTATACTAAAGTAAACCTGCTTATTTCTTTTTTTAACCACGAATTAATGTCAGAACCAGAACAAAATTGTACTTATGATATTTCTCTCCTGTAATCTTCGTATGTATATGTATGTACACAAACGTGAGACTTCAATCCTAAGGTAAAGCGAGATGTTCCTCGATATTGCGAAAGATCAACAGGAAGTATTACCATCGTTTCAGCCCCTGAATATCCTCCACACATTCTGTTACGTATTAAATAAAAGTTACTGTAATATTTCTAAGGTTGCTTGTCAACTTCACACACACACACACACACGCGCGCGCATGCACGTATGCACACACACACATACAGAGCTCGATTGATCGATCATCGCCTTTTATAGCCTCGATCGTACTTTCCTCGCAGCTTGCTGCCAAAAGTCGATTAATTTTCTTCAAGAAATCGACTACAGAGAAAGAGAGAGAAAGAAGGCGAGATATTTAAGAATTTAATTAAGAAGCAACTCGATGGAGAAACTCGTTGGGATTTTAATCTCGAAAGAAGACGAAGGTAAAATAGCAAGCAGAAGAAAATAGCATTAGGAATGTTAGTAAGTTATTTGAAATTTCAACGCACGAGGGAGCGTAGACAATTAACCTTGCTACGATCCTAGAATTTCTATACTTCAATTTTGCTCTCGTTTTACCAAACAGAGACAATACGTAATCTTTTGAGAAAATATTTAATTCTGTTGCTTTCTTTGGATTTACACCTGTAATGGATGCTCTGTTTCAATAGAATTGATTAAAACATGAATAGTTTTTGATTTTAGTATTCAATATTATTTTGTATATTCTATGCTTTTTATGAACGAAGTGTTTCAAGAAAGAAGATGTCTGAAGGAGTAAAGGGAACAGTAAGGTTAATATAAAATTCGTACATACCAATAAAACTTCTTTCATATTTTGTTCAAACCGAAGATAGTTTTTAAGGTTAGAAAAATATAATTAGTCGAGAATGATCATAACGGGGTTAAATCCGACGAACCTTGTATATCGACGACGAATGCTTGCAATCTTTTTCAGAAAGATCCACACGAATTGCGGAAATTCGGCAGCAATTCCAGCAATAAAACTGACTACTCAGGAGATATATTCACCCCTGTGCACCACGAACGTGTTTTTTCTATTTTCAATCTCCTTGAAAAAAATCACCATTCATAGGAACTCCTGCGTCCTATCTCAATCCACAAAATTGCATGACATCTTTTCGAGCACATACACGTGAAACACATAACCTTCAAAGTTACCTGCATACGCTGTAAGTCTATTACGGATCATACATATTCCTCATCTTTTAGTATGAAAATTAGTCCACTATTCTTATACTGATTAGTGTACTGAAAAAAAGCAGCTTATCAACACAAAAGAATAGCACGACGACGCGAAACGGATGGTGGCTAACGGTGGCCTCGGCACGCTTTGGATCTTTTCAATTAATAAACCAAGATTGGAGAATCAATAAGTGAAATCATTCTCTGCGCAAGTTTCCAAGCTTCAGTCGCTATATTATACGTTTCTTGATGGATCTATCAGATCAAATGATAGGTAAAAAGTAAACTTACTTAAAATGGAGGAAATGAAACTAGGAAAGATTACATGTAGGAAAGATCACAATAGCAAAATTCCTATATAGATTGAAGTATATAGAAATATAAGACAACAGTCACGAGTAATAAGAATAGACAGTGGCGGATGAAAGAGAGTTTAAAATTCATATGCTACTTACGAATTTTAGTACCTCTTTTCCCAAAAATTCATTCTATTGTATATCGTATTGGTCATTCCATAAGTAATGTGGTTTTTCTGAGAGTTAAGTTCAAAAAACAGTAGGATTAGTTACTATAGTTTTAAAGAACTGGAATAGAAAGCATCGTGGAAATAGATAGTGGATTATAAAACGTACGAGAAAATTCATCACTGATCGATCGCTCGAAGGTAATTGTTTATTTTCATCTAGCAATATGAAAGCCGACGACGACGCACTACTTATGAGATAACCTAATGTCTATGCATTGCTCTCATTTAATATAAATCCATTTTATAAAATTATAGTGCCCCTTCTTCTTCTTTGATGAACTTCTTGATGTACACCACTGTATATGGAACCTTATAGACACACCACGTAACGAAATCACCAAGGGAACCACGAACGTGTTCGAGTAAAAATTCTAAAGATCCAGCGGACCAGTTGCGCATCGTTCGATATTTCGCAAGAAGCTGTAAAGAAGGTGGAAAGTTAGTAGGGACAGATCGATGGTGAAGAATTTGGTATCCGCGAACGTGTTCGCGTTTTGAGGCCGTCGCTAGCGAAGGGTGGCTAGGAGAGGGAGAAGGGGCACGTTATGGAAGTGGGGAGGGCTACGTTAAGGGGCGTCGGGGGCGGTGGTCGTCGTCGTTTCTACGCGCATGTTTCTTCTCCGCGAAACGGATCGATGCTGGAAATAGCTCGACCCGCAGGAGAGTACGAGGTGAGTCGGCTTCGCTTTCGGCAGGGCCTTCGCAGCTCTCCACGCCCGCTGTTTCCTGTTTTCCAGACCAAAGGGAAAACGTAACTCGTAGCTAGAGCCCACGGTCCGTCTTCTTCACGTTCCCGCGAGCTTCCCTCGTCACCCGGCGAACGTTATTCGCTGATTTCCTCTTCGACGTCGTTCTTCCTCTCTCCCCCTCCTCAGAGAGTCTCTCTCTAACTGGACACTCTTCTCTTCTTCGATCGTATTCGATATCTGCCACACTGGTATCAGTTCAATTTCATCCTCCGTCATCTTCTGTATCACTCTTCTTCCTTCTTCCGGTGCTCGTTCCTCCGAGTGTGTGCTTCGACGATTCATCTCACCGGCGACCAAAAGAAACACAGAGAAATCTCGACCGCGGGATGACTCGAAAAAAATGTGCGTCGTACCGATGTGGCTGACGAGGCTGGAATCGTAAGTACAACTAGCCGAAAGATTTTTCTCAAACGTAGGTGTATAGCGCCGCGAAAACCAGAGCGAAACGTGGCCGCCGTGACACGACACCTACGCTTCCTCCGATTGATCCGCGTTCTAATACGTTTCGCTTCGCTCGCCTGAACGATCTGCACTCTGAATTTTTAACACGTTCCTCTGCTTTGTCACAGTGACAGACAGACGTTATGGCCTCTCCACTTGTTTCTTTGCATCCTGGCTATTTCGTTTGCGGGGTTCGTCTGGCCGCTTTCACAGTTTCCTCGAGAAGGTTTCCGGTTGCGCCTCTCGAACAAAACACCTTAGATAGAATCGATCTAATCATAGACGGATGATCTTGAATGTCTCGTAGATGTCTTGTCTATCCTATAATCTCTAGAATATAGTAGAATCGATTGAACGCGAAGACTGTGTCATAGTGTTAGAGGTGGCAATGTCTAGGGAAACAAAGTGTCTCGGTATATCTACGACGGCTTTGGTACGTTCCAGGCCGATTTAATGAAAGACACGTAAACTAAAAAGAAGCATTTCGTGTACTATAATACGTAGAAATATTCTAGACCGATTGTGGCTTCGTACATAACGCTGACGCAGCAATGATAGTTGCTAAGACGATAATGAAGCTGCCCATTGAGAACTGACTTGGTCGATACGCCTCGCGTTTCCTCCTTTCTGTCATCCCTCGCGAATTTACCATCGGATACGTGCTTCGTGTTTCGATTATGCATCGGGCTTGTTACGTTCTCACATCCATTCGATGTTCACCTTTCGCTTTCCTCTTTGTAATCGAATTCTCCGTTTCAGCCTGGAGTCTCGATGGTGGACGCCTGGAATAGAATGGAGTAACGATTTGAAATCGAACGGTTGTCGAATTATATCGTCGTAAGACAGGTGATAAAACTGGTCGAGTATAGAGCATCGTCCGTGCCGGTATTACGCGTGCGCCTCGGTAAATCCGGTGGACAAATGTTCGGCATATTGCAGCAATGCTCTTCGCCGAAACTTTTATTCAATTACGTCAGAAACTCAAGCTACTCTCCTACGAAGAACAGATATCGTGCTCTATTGTTCTTCAACGACTTGCAATATGTATCGGTGCTCGTCGACTTGGCTCTTCTACGTTGTATCAAATAAGATTCTAAATATGCGCAATTGCCTCGTAGAGTGGATTTTATGGGACGGAATTTCTTGTTTTATACAGATCTTTATTTTCTTATTTTTGGAAACGTTATGTGGCGGAATGTTGTTGGGTAGAATATTATTGTACAACTGAGGAATAGTAGAATATCTATTTAACATATTTGTTGCCAGTGAAATATGATTACCCATCCATGGGTTTGCCATTTCTTCTTTTACTTTTCTTAATCCTTATGAATAGACTGTGAATGTTTATGCAATTTCGTGTTTTTTTATAAACGTTATGAAATGGAATATGCATAGAAATTTGTTTCACCGCTTAATTTTGTATACCAGTGAAGCTTATTTGAACATAGAATCTCGTTATAAATGGAACTGTATATTCTATTTAAAAAATCATGATTAATGTATATCTTCCCAAACTCGAGTGTATTATAATCTTTGACGTTACGCAATTGTGTTCACTGCTAAAATAAGAACAATCAAAATAATGTTTGCTTCAGTATGTTCTGTGAAAAGAATATTAATCGTGAATCCGAATTAACAAGAATGAAAATGCAATAATTGTATTAGCAGCATTAATTAAGTTAATGAATCAATGCCAGCGAATGTGTTAAGACCACGTACAGTGTTCGAGCATTGGAGCGACGCTGGATTTCATATGGGGTTTGAATTTTCTAAATATAAATCGGCACGCGCACCATTTTTCTCCTCTATTGGATTTCACTCCGCTAGACCCCTTCCTTAAATTTTTCAGTCGACAACTCAACCATATACCGTGACACTGTTCTCCATCCTGTAACCTAGAATCTACGAAAAACAAAATGTTAGCTATATCTCTTTCTAAACTGTGAGGTTAAGAGTCATAGAAAAAACATGTCAGATTTTGGAATTAAATTCAGGTTAAATTGTTCTCCACCTTGCAATGAAAATCTCTAAGACAAATTCTGGTAAATCTCTTTGTATATTTTTGATAATATTTCTAAAATTTTCAGGTTGAGTTGTTTCCCATCCTGTAAGCTAGAACCTTTGAAACAAATAGAATTTTTGATAAGTCTCTTCCTAAATTTTGAGGTTAAATCGTTCGCCATTCTGTAAGTTAGAATCTCTGGCACAGAAATAGAATTTTTGATAAGTCTGTCCTAAATTTTGAGGTTAAATTGAGCTTCAATTGTTTATCATCCCGTAAGTTAGAAATTCTGAAACACAAATCTTTGATAAGTCTATCTTTGATAAGTCTCTACCTAAGTTTTGAAGTTGAATCGTCCTCTATCCCATATGCTAGAATCTCCAAAACAGTAATACAATTTTTGATGAGTCTCTTGCTAAATTTTGAAATTAAATCATTTTCTATCCTGTAAGCTAGAAACAGTAATAAGATTTCTCACGTATCTCTATATCTAAATATATATTGAGGTTAAATCGAGGTTCGATTGTTCTCCATTCTGTAAGCTAGAGTTTCTAAAACAGAAATAGAATTTTTGGTAAATCTCTTCCCACATTTTGAGGTTAGGGGTCATAGAAGGAACTTCGTTTAAATAAATGATTGATACAGAGGTTTGATAGTAGCTGGTAATTAACTCTGGTAACAAGTGTTGCTGTCGATTCTGTGTGCAAAGGCACGAACGGCACTGGTCGATAATTTCTGTTCACCTGGTGACGCTGTTCGAACCAAATTTAATTATCTAGATGCCGGAGATAAGAATATACCTTATCGTGTCAGGCATTGAGATCATCTCACGATATTATCATCGATCGTTTCTTAAATTTAACGTTAACTTCATCGACCAGATCTTCGTTGATTGAAAATTGAAAAGCTATATGAAAAGCAAAGAATACAATCAATCGTCACGATCAAGTTCCACTGGGAAACGCTGAAAGTTTGAAAAGCTTATTTGCAGCAGGACGAAACTCTATGAAGGTCCCTTGCAATTCTTAAGATTTCATCTCAACTTTTTATTCTTTGGTGAAACTTTCGTTGGCTTTCAAGCTGGACTTTCGTTTAATTTAAGTTACGCCAGATCGTACCATAAGTAATTTTGTACTCACATGTGCAACTTCAAAACATAAAAGTACTTTATATCCGATTGCAATTAGATAGCGTTCAATATTTATCAATAATATCAAATATCAACGTTTATATTAAGACGTAAAAAAGTTTGTCGTACTTATCGGCAGATAATACCTTATCTGATCTTTTCTGGCGCTATTTTTACAATTTACCTCACTTATCATTTTTAATTTCTGCTTTCAGAAATTGTAAAATTGCGATGGAAAATATTCGGTTACCTCTTTGAGATTCAATTTTCTTGTATATTTTTTAATTGTTTATACTATCTGATTAAGGTGACGCATCTCAATTATATTATATTAAATGCTTTGTCAAATTTTGTTTAATGTGTATGGCTGATCATTCTGTTGATTAAAATACAGATATTTATACAAATTTATATTTTAACGAAGACGACTAAAAATATTGCAGATATGGGCATTCATTTGATTTATCGATTGTTGCAATACGTACTATATTTTGGATATTTTATATATTAACAATAATGATATTTATTTGTAATTAACAGCAAACTTTGTACGTGTATTTACATATTACAGACTATAGTAAAAGATGGAGTTAGGATAAAAAAATAACAATACTAGGTAACAAGATATGTTCATAGATAAATGCAACAGAAAGAAGAAGAAAATAAGATATAATATACAACAATGTTAAAAGATACGTATTTGATATATTATTTTTTCATATTATTGCTTATCAAAATTCCTCGATTTATAATCATCTTTCTTATCACATTTAATGCTATTAACGCTGTTCATGATCTTTCTAATTGTTAATTGTAAATTTCAGGAATTACCGTACCAAACTTTTCTATCTTAGAAATTCGAAGTCGAGAAATCAGATGCAAAATAGAGGAGCGGGATTATTTGTGGAATGACCTGATATCCTTCGTTCGATCGAATTAAACAGAACAGAATTCTCGTCTTCGTGGAGTCGTAGAACTAGAACAGTGGTCGTAGGTGAGATTGCCGATTTCTCAACCGTTATCGATTACAGTTTCCTGGGTTGCATGCAGGTGTACTCTAACGATGATATCGGTTTTAGTTGGGGTGAGCTGCGATAGTCGTTGAGTTTGTTAGCACACCAGCCTCGACACGACCACCCTGCGGTAATCTGGAGCACGTGCTCTCTCCTGCTCCCCCAATTATCGATGAAATTCTGTTTCGTACACTATGTCGGTCCCTTTTGCTCGTTGGTAACTCGTCGACTTGCGACGGTGTCGATTTAATTGCCATGTCGTTCGTCAATTGTGGTTCTCGGTTGTTTGCAAATTTCTTAAGTTCGAAGAACGTAATTTACTCTCTGATCTTGTCATTTCAAGTATTAATAATTCGTCAAGATATTGAGATGTACCAAATATGGTTAAAATCGTAATAAGAAAGATTGGAAGATATTAGGATCGAAATACTATTCCAATAATTTTCCAGATAAAGAAACGAAAATATAGGAGGATGAGATATTAGATTAAAATTCTACCTGTGTGCAGTTCTATTTGTGCATTTGTGTCCTAGTAATTGTAAAGTATGTTGCTACCTGTATTTACTTTATATTTATAATCATATTTATACTTTATATGTGTGAACAATTCTTGAAGTACCTAGTACAAAGATAGCGATTAAAATTAGGTATGATATAATGGAGGTTGGATGTATTCTAAAGTATTTCCTAAATTTGAGGTCCTCGACAGAGTTAAAGTACAAATAAAACCTAAATTCTACCAAACATTCGTAAGAATCTACAGACACTTAGTCCAATTATTCAATTATTTAAATAGTTGTAGCAAACAACTGTCTCTATATTTCTGGAAGAATAATCCCAATGCGTCGTTGGCAATTAAAATTATGGCACAGATGGACATCGTTGTCGAAAGATATATAGCTTACACTGATGTTAATTAAATTGCCCATTCGTAACGGATTAATATGCTAACTATGACTGTCGCGTAAGACTTTAAGCCTCTTATCAACGATATAGATCGTGGTGTACGCTCGACTAGCAAGGGATATTCGCGTGTTGCACAACTTTGTTCTATCTGTTTAGAAGATACGTAGTATCGCGTAAAAATATATGATCTTTTCAACCCACAACGTTCGTTTAGTATATGAGAACAGTTTTCTCCTCTCTGTTCATTAACTATTGGCAATAGAAATATATTTTTTGGAGTGGTTTTATGAAGAAGACACAATGTACTGAGATTTGAGATTAACTTCGGATAATCTCAGACCAGATACTTAATTTCAAGTTACAAAGCGGATAGATCTTTCATGTTATCTTCCAAAAGCGGTATTTTAAAAAGTTTTAGCCGATATTATACAATTACGTGTTGTTATGTCCTTGTAGTATTCCTTTAGGTATTTAGCGCTTTTTATTAATTATTAAAGCAACACATGTTCTTGGTTGGCTTTATCAAGTAGACGTAATGTGGCAAGATTTGGGACCACAGAAACCATATATTACACATTTATCGTTTAGTCAATTAGTATTTTATAGAAGAACGATGTTACGTGTACGCAACATCAGACGCAGAAAAGACGAGACACGAATGCGATTTCTATTATGTGATGATACAGACTCATTGACCTAAAACCAAGCACTGATAAAATATACAAGGAAAGAGACAAGATTTCTGGCATTTTCTCAGCAATACCGCTACGGAGGAGCGTTGTGAAAGGCCAACAGGAAGGGTAAAATGGTCACGGTTGTACGGTACTGCTGATCGATCGAACTGTTCTGGCAACGATCCCATTACGCGTACACGACCGTCCAAATCGAACGTTTCATTTTTATCAGACAGAGAGAAAAATTGCAGATAACGACAGCTTTGTCCTCCGTGAAACTCGACGGCCTTTGTCCTTCGTCTTTCTCGTTTCGATCCCATAACTATATATATATTCGAATCGATCTTATTTCAGGTCTGAGTCTAATTAGACTAAATCAGAGGATACAGTAGATGAAAGCGACGTGGCGAAGTGATAAAATCGGTTAATAGTCGAAGCTTACCGTTAAGCAAGCTAATGGTAACTGTACTAAGCGATTAGAAACGTATCAAGGACCATAAGGCTCGTAAAGACAGGCTGCTGCCCGACGCTGGTTTGTCTCCGATGTTGGTTTTCTCTTCTTTAAACTTCTTCGTGCATTTGTGCACATTGCTCTTGTGAACCATGTCATCTCTGCAAACATTCTATAGCCTTCTGTGGACAGTCCGCACGTGAAGAATTCAACGGTGACACGCTGCTCTTGCTTGAAATCCGTTATTTACATGCAACGAAGAGGAAGAAGAGAAAGAGTTACTACGAAGAAAGAGTTGTCCCACCGATATGTGGAATTTAAACGACCTACAGTCACTTGCAAAAGTCTACGTACATCGCTTAGATATAAATTGTTATGGTCGATAGTTACAGTACAAATCATTCTGTGACCAAATGCGTTTTCCATTTCTTTGCATTTAGTCGAACGCACAGAATTCATCAGGAGTATGTAGATTTTCGTACGACTGACTGAGTAAATCAGTTAATAATAACGTTGCTCGCGTCGTATACATCGATACGTGTACGACATCGTTTCGAGAGTTCGACGCGGAAAGATGAACGAGCGCATAGAGCGACGTGTTTCGCGGCGTGCACGCGTTAAAAAAGAAGTGGACGAATTTAGCACGGTTATAAAGAGCGACCGACTAAATAAAGATCGGTAGTGTGCAACAAGTATTCGAGGATTCGGCAAAGTAGCCTGAAACGTCGCGTGGGTGTTGTCGTTTCATTCGCGAGCACACGCATGTCACTCGCATCGCACGCTTCGCACTTGCAGCTTGCTGTTCGCGTTGCCCTCTTCCTGCACCGATCGATCGATCGTCGATGATACTCGACGATTGCATAGAACGCGTATAGAGTATTATTATAGTGTTGCTGCGACTACCCTTGGTCACTGTGGATCGTTTAGAATTGCACATAATGGCGAAATCTGCATGAAAGCACCTGTAATAATCGCGCGAATCTAAATCTTTTCTAATTGAAAATATCGTTCTCCTATGATTTCGTATCGCTATCGTTACAAAACCTAAGACCTTCTCCTAAAAAGAAAACACACGGAAAAAGGGTTTCTCGTGAGAAAAAGGTTTGAACACGTTCGCTACTGTTATCGATCGCGTTTTGTTTCTTGTATTTCTGTACAATATACTCGATGACCAGATACAGGCGAAGCTTACATTTGTATTCGTCGATTTTCAAAAAGCGAGTTACGAAAGTCTTCGTACTTCTTGTGATAAGACTATTATTATTCGCATTAAATTTTCCTATATGTATAGTTGGTAAAAGAAACGTGAAATTTCATTTCGATATTTCGGTATATAGCGTATATATTCTCCATCAAGGAAATGAAATTGAAGAGAAGATAAGATACTCGCGGAATATTAATATAATTTACAGTTTAAAATAACGTATGAAGTTGGAATCTGTTTTGGTACAAACGAGTATTCTATACGTTTATCGAGTCAACGTGAGCAAGATTTTTGTGAATGACTGTATACGTTGGTAGCGAACGTGCTAATAACCCATTGGCATGCACAGTTATTAAGCAGTCTGAGGAAGACTATAAGTATGATCCCCTCAGAAGCCAAACTAATCAACTCGACTCGTGTGAAACGATAAGTTGTATCGTGGCACAACCGACAGATAGATGATTCTAAATTCTGAGCTCAGCTTCAGAAGTAATATCCCTGTGGTATCGTCATCTTTCTCCATGAAGTTGATCAGCGTGGTTCTTGCATGGCGCGTACAACGTTTGGTTTGGCGTATAAATTCATAAAAATTCGTGTTACTATCGCTTGGCACCTTTCGTACAGATAGAGAAGAAAAAGGAAGCCGAAGGCGATAACGACGTTTAAGACGTTCGAAAAACACGGTGTGCCAATGGGTTAAAGCTTGAACCTTCGGAGGCAGACTAACGAAAAGTATGAATACCGATTGCAGAGGCCTCGCTTGTTCCACGGTAGCTCTTAGAGGATGCACAAGCTAGCCAAGGGCCTGAAGAAGAAGAAAAAGCCGAAGAAGGGCAAGAAGGGGGCAGAGGAGGACGAGTTCGACCCGGAGGAGCTCGAGCGTTACAGGCGCGAGCGGGCGGAAGCCCAGCAGAAAGCCGAGCAATCCGGCGAGCAGGCCAGCAACGCCAGCTCCGACGAGTGGAAGAAATTCGAGGCGTTGACGGCCGGAGTCGACTCGATCCTCAAGAAGACACAGGGAGATCTCGATCGTATAAAATCCACCTCCTTCTTCCAACGGAAGCCGCCGCTAGAAAACGAGAAGAAAGAGGAAGAAGAGGAGGACCAGGAAGATCCTGGTAAAAAGTTTTCTTCGAAGAAGTGGGTAGGTTTCGACGAGGAAGGTAATCCGATCGAAGGTGAACCACCGGACTTCGAGGGAAAGGGAAAAAAGAAAGAAGACAAGCCTCTGGTTAACGAGGACGGTCTCGTCGAACTTCCCGACGACGAGGATGAACACGAAGACTCCGCCGACGAAGACGTATTCGATACGACCTACGTTGACGTTCTGCAGAATATCGACGTTCAACTAGCTTACATTCCCGACAGTCCAACCGAGGAGGAGGCCGGCGACGACCCGTTCGACACTACAAACGCGGACAAAGTACTAAAAACAGTAGATAAGAAGGGGAACAGATTGGTCAGTTTAGGGAACGCGGTAGAGGTCCTCTCCGGAAGAGTCGATTACGTGAGTTCGTGCAAGATCACGAGAGGCAGGCGGCCTAGACTGCAACAAGATTTATTATTGGATGACTTCGAGGAATCTGAGCAGCTTGCGGAGAGTAGCAGCGTAGTCGCGGAGCCTGTGGACGCGACTAAGACTTTGCTGGACGACGACAGCGACCTTCCTGATATTCCTGTCGATCTTACGAAGCTTCCTCCGGTTCTACCAAGGCCAGTCAGCCCGGCTGTGCATCAAGAGAACGTTGCGGAGAACAAATCGTCTAACGGACCTTTGGATATTTCTGAGTTCGAAATATTGAAAGAGAAAACGATCTTAGAGGAGATTCCTGACTTGGACGACGCGGAGTTCGATTTAGACGCAGCGCCAGATGAGCCGGTACGTCTCGAGGAGGCTGACGATCCTTTCAAAACTAAGGAACCGGTGGCTGTAGACTTCCAAGCCGAGATAATAGAAGCAAGCTTCGAGGCAGCTACTTTCGTCGACGAAGAAGATCCGTTCGACACTACTTTCGCCGAGAATATTCTTCCTGGTAAGACAGAGTTAAAGTTCATCGAGAAAGAACTAGAGGAACTTCCTGTTTCAGAGGTGACGATATCCTTGACCGATCCAGCTGGATTGAACAGAGACTATGAGACAGGTTTGCTGAAAGAAGAGCTCAGAGCAAAGACCAGTAATTTGCAAGCTAAGAAGGATCTTCTAGGAGGATCTACAACCGATCTGAGTCAACTTGCGGAGGAACCTATAGCTCCGGTAGAAGATCTCAGCTACGTAGACCCTTTCGACACCTCTGCTATCAAAGAAATTCCTCCTGGAAAGACAGAGTTGAAGTTCCTCGAGAAAGAGTTGCTTGGTGAACAACCTAATCTTTCTAATTCTCTGGACGACGACGATTTCGATCCAAGAAAGGACGAGCAGCAGCCAGCTGTTCCGGTTGACATTACCGTATCCAAGCTACCGCCAAGGCCTCCTCTTCCAACAGCGTCTGTTAAACCAATCTTTCAGGTTGAATTCGAAGAAGAAGAAGATACTGGCGAGGTTGGCGACCGTGGACGAAGATCTTCGAGGCCAGAGGTGCTAGAACTAGCACCTTCGAAGACCGTTGCTTTCGAACTGCCTACACCATCCAAACGTCCAGACCTACTGACAACCACCGAAGAAGAGAAAGCTCTACCTTCGAAACCTCTGACACCTTATTATTCTCAGAAATCTATCGACGACTTGTTACCTATACAGGAGGAGGAAGCTGATGTGGATCCTTTCGATACCAGTTTCGTGGCCAAGGTAGCTCCCGGAAAGACAGAATTGAAGTTGATCGAGTCAGAATTGTTGAAACAGGAGTCAAAGTTACCTCATAGCCTGAGCGACCACGATTTTGATCCGCGAGCCGAAGGGGAACCTGTAAGAAGACAGAGCGATTTCACAGCTAGTTCTATCAGGCCGAACAATTTGAAAATCGCCGAGCTTCAGGACTCTGTGTTGAAGAAGTTCGAGGAACAGAGGAAACCGAAACTGCAGCAGAGGCAGGAGAGTTTGCTGGACGAGAAGATCGAGGTGGACGCGAAGCCTCTGACGCCAAGAATCGAGTCGAAGCCCATCGAAGAAGAAGAAGAGATTTCCTACAACGATCCTTTCGACACTTCTATCGCCACTAATATTCTTCCTGGTAAAGCGGAGCTGAAGATTCTCGAAAGCGAACTGCAGCAAATTCCCGGAGAGCTGCCCGTTCGTCCTGTTCCTATCGCATTCACAGCGATCATTAAAACTAGCATTCCGGAGGTTGATCCTGACTTTGATCCCAGAGCCGAGGAAAAGAAGGAAACAGCAGATTATTTGTGCATCGACGACCAAGATCCTGGAGCCAAAGTACTTACTCCTTTGCAGAACGACGACTTCGGTTTAGGAGAGGACGTGGATCCTTTCGACACCAGTTTCGCTACCTTGGGGCCAGGAAAAACTGAACTGAAGATACTCGAATCTGAATTAATGCAGGAATAGAAGATCTAATCTATCCTCCTTCTCTTCCCAGTAAAAGACTCTCTGCTAAGCGATCTGCGCAATTATATATTAGAAAGTACTGTACCAAAGAATATTTTAAGCAACGTTTAAGCTGGTCCATTAACCTTTCGATCGAGCAACATGGATTCCAAAGGTGGAAACCCTTTCTTGATGGACGACTACAGTGTCGAGTCCAACGACAGGAAAACTAGCCAACCGTCGAATCCTTTCCTCCAGGACTTCGCGGACACGGAAGCAGCCGCAGGAGGAGAGAATCCTTTCCTGAATTTTGCAGCAGACCAATCTTATCAATCAGCCATTACAGTCGACTCGACGAACCCTTTCGCTTCTTTCGCCACGGAGACCACTGCACCTAGCACTGGTTTCGAAGCTACTACTACCGACACTACGGCATCTAACATATTCTCTGGTCAATCCGCGAACATTTTTCAGACGACTGTCAGCGAGTCGAGCACGAATCTGTTCGACGCGCCGATCTCTACTCAAGCGACTGACGAACTTTTCGGTCAAGAGTTGCAGTCTGCACCTCCGCCGTCTCCGGTGGTGCCTGTGACGCCAGTTCAACCCAAAAATGGCAAGACTGCACCGTCGAGGCCGCCTCCACCGAGACCTCAACCACCGGCGCCTCCTAAAAACACCAAAGACTTGATCTTGTCGGTTACTGGAGCTATGGATGCTACTTCTAATCATCTCCTGGATCGATTACAGGTTCGTTATAGTGAGATAAATGATAATTATATACTTCGAGAACTTGAGCGTTGTCAGGATATTCCCCTGACTAATGAGTATCAGGGTCATTGGGTGTGACACGTACTATTCTGCATGATCATTTTTCAAATGAAAGAACATGTAGAGTTAGTTTCCATCGATTATTAATTATGAAAATTATGAAAGAGAGCAGTTATTTCCTTATAGCGACGGTTTACAGTTACAGTTTTTTTTATTTATTACCTGACTCAAACCTAGTGAAATTGTTAAAAGATGCGTGTTAAGAATATTTTGATATATACGTATCTTTCAAGTAGAAGCGTAGTTACTCAGGACATTGACCTTGACAACATAGACATATCAGCGAGAAGACCATTTTCCACATGCAGTTTCTTATGCAATTGTTAGGTAAAAATGATGTGTACCATCTTGTATATAAATCATTACCGGATAAATCAAAATCAAAATTGTTATCTGTCAAACTTTGGTTCGTTTCATCTTGATCGTTAATTGCAGGCAACAAGAACACCCAGTCCAACGTTAATGCACTCTCCATCGCCAACTCCGGAGCACAGTTTCGCCGACTTCCTGGACGTGGATTCGAACGTGCCAGACCTAATGTCCGACGACAGCAAAGTAGCAGAGCCATCGAAGAATCGTGACATCCTGGATCTCCTTGACGCACCTAATACAGAGACGACGACCACTACCATCTTCTCCACGTCGATAAACACCGAAGACGCCACCAGTTTGGTAACAGGAGTATCCTTGATCAGTGCCACTGGCCAGGACAATCCATTCGTCAGCATTACAGAGCAAGAGGCATCTCCTATTCAGGCTGAGGATGCCTTTAAGTCAGATTTCCCGGAAACTGCTTCTGTAACAAGTGAAAAGAGACCATCTATAGCGTCCACGACCGGAGTTGTTGGAAGCGACACGGAGAAAACTGGTATTGATTTAGATTTCGCTGCGGAATCCCCTGTTGTCTCAGAAACTATGCAATCGTCGACAGCTGGGGCTGAATTATTCGCTACCAGCGGCACTGAGCAATTGTCCACGATGACTACCGAGTCTGCGTTCTTTTCTGTTGCCGATACGATGTCTTCTGGACCATTTGGTACCATAGATACCACGGCCTCGCATTTCACGACATCCATGCAAACGCCTGGCACGCAACCTCTGTTCGCAAGCACGGAAATGAATGCGTCATCCGCTCAGTCCAATGGACCATTTGCTTCTGATTTACTTGGTGATTTCGAAGAACCTACGAAAGATATCAGTGGCATGACATCGACCAGTCCGACTCCGGGAGCTGAATTTCCCATCAGCGAAGCGTATAAGCCCGAAGAGCAGTTGGATAACTTTGCAGCAACTACGAAAGTTATCGAGGGTACCGGCGATGCGTTTGATATTTTTGCTTCGAAGTTTGATAAAGCTGCGGAGCAGGAAACCAACGCTGGAGATCCTTTCTTGGATGCCTTTGGTGGCGGGCCTACCGCCATGGACACGTCTAGCGATGGTAAAAGAATTTTCTTGTAATTTTCTGTAAGCTTGCGGATCAAATAATAAGTTTTTATGGATAGAAATTACACATATTTTCTTTTATGTATTGTATATTTAGATTTACATTTATTTGACTCTTTACTGTGTATTTAGTTTGGGGTGATTCGTCTGCGACCGGGTCAGAGACAGCAGTGACTGGATTTGGAGAGGCTGATGGGTTTGACTCGTTCCTGAGTATGACAGCACCACCACCAGAGACAAATGTAAAGAGAACCGACTCTGTAGATTCGGATGCGGGACCAGATTTCAGTGTATTCATTAAGTAAGCACCGATATATCAAATAACCAATTAATAAATATATAATAAATATCAAATAAATATTAATAAATATAAGTATCGTCGTTTGGCTAATGTATTTTGTACCCATAGACCAAAAGAGGATGATCAAGGCGGAGCAATCGAAGGAGGAGCTGTCCCCGTGCTAGCGCCACCACCAAAGAGTCCGCAAAACACAGCTTACACAGATACCTCACCACGATTCAATCCCTTCGACAAGTCAGGATTCGCACAGGACGCTATTCCCACTACGGAAACTGCTCAACCTGCTGAACTGACCAGGACAGATTCTCAGGTATTATAAACATCGTTTTTGAAAATTGAATCTCATAATCTTCATTCGACATTATACGTGCCTTTTTAAATATAAACTAAGCTGAAAATTCTTTGTTGTTAAAATACTCTATAACTACGTCTATGTTTCTGATAAAATTAATAAAACTAGTTGTTTATTATATGCATTACATTGTATAGTATATTGTATATTGTTATTTGCTTTTATCTGATACTAGGAAACTCCTCCGACTCCCCTATTTGACGAAGACGTTAGCCAACCTTTGGAAGACTTCCCAAGAGTGACGTACACCGGTGACGGCTGGGACATGCACCTGCGCCAACCTAACAAGAAAAAGATAACCGGTCAACGATTCTGGAAGAAGATCTTCATAAAACTGGTCTACCAAGGTGACAATCCTGTACTCCAGTTGTTTAACAGCAGAGAAGACAAGGATCCCTTCCAAGAATTACCTCTAGTTCCTTCTTACTCGATATCCGACATCGGGGCACAGCAATTTGACCAATACGGGAAAATATTCACGGTGAAGCTGCAATACATTTTCTACAAGGAACGACCTGGAGTACGACCTGGCCAGGTGACAAAGGCGGAAAGGATAACGAATAAACTCAGTCAATTTGCTGCGTATGCCATTCAGGGTGATTATCAGGGGGTGAAAGAATTTGGAAGCGATCTAAGGAAGCTCGGTCTTCCCGTGGAACACGCGCCACAGGTGCAATTTCTCTTTATATCGGAATTGTACAGCTTTTTGGAAATAGAGTTTATAACGTAGACAAGTGACAAAAATATAGAATGCTCACTAAGGTTCGATCTTAGATGCAATGTTCCATTTTCAACTGTTCAAGTTTCCAAACATTCGATGATTCGCATCTCTAAACTTTCGAACTAATAAAGTTTCAAATTTTCGAATTGTCAGATTTTCAAATGTTCTATTATGCAATGACGTGTTTTATATACGCATATATAAATTACGTATTTTTTGTACATTACTTCATTGCTTGTTCTTTAGTGGTTCCTTAATGGCGATCCTTAATGAGCTAATATTGAAAAATTTCAATTATTAAAATAAACCATAGAATTATTATCATTGAATGACTTCGGTCTTTTCTGTACAGATTTCTCAGTTATTCAAACTAGGTTCTCAACTCTACGAAGATATGAAGCAGTTCTCTTGCGCGATCGAGGAAGCTCTGTTCAGATTGCCGGCTCATCGAGATCGGGCGCTCAGCTATAAGACAGAAGACGTGCAGATTACGGTCGTGGATGAATTGTACGTGGAACAGAACGCGCAAGGTCAGGTCGAGAAGCAAATAGCGCGTGTTCGATTGTTCTTCTTGGGCTTCCTCTCTGGTAAGCTTTGGCCAACTGTTGACAATTATCGTCATATTACCATAGAAATTTCCAATAGAATTTCTAATTTATAGTCAATAGACACCAGGATTTCGTTTATCTGTCCTCGGAATTATTTTACCATAAAAGTACTTTCATTGAAATTTCATTACCTCAGGAATGCCTGACGTTGAATTGGGAATAAACGACATGTGGCGCCAAGGGAAAGAGGTAGTAGGCAGACATGATATAATTCCAGTGGTAACCGAAGAATGGATCCGTCTGGAGAACGTCGAGTTCCACTCCTGCGTTCAACAGGATGAATATGAAAAATCTAGAATTATAAAGTACGTCTTCAACGAGCAACGAACGATTTTTGAAAATAGCTTCTTGATAACCACTTATAAGACTCTATCTTGAAACGATAATAACAACAGCTACACTGCTGCTAACTAACGACTAATTGCAATTAACACCTGACTAACCCTTTTGAAGGTTCAAGCCACCGGATGCATGCTATATCGAACTTATGAGGTTCCGAGTAAGGCCTCCTAAAAACAGAGAGCTTCCTCTCCAGCTTAAAGCCGTAATGTGCGTTACCGGTAATAAGGTAATGTCACTTTTCATCCAGAAAATTTGCGCGCACCTCGACACTGCGTACGCTGCTTGTTCTTGTCGAATATCAATACTCGTTTCTGCTTTGGCAGTTTTAGGCCTCTGGTTCGACGCTTACCCTCTTTCTCTTTGACCTCGTTCTTTCATTATCAACAGGTAGAACTGAGGGCGGACATTCTGGTGCCGGGATTCGCGTCAAGAAAACTGGGCCAGGTGCCCTGCGAGGACGTGATGGTACGTTTCCCCATTCCAGAGTGCTGGATCTACCTGTTCAGGGTGGAGAAACACTTCAGATACGGATCCGTTAAGTCAGCTCATAGGAGAACAGGAAAGATCAAGGGTATCGAAAGATTTCTCGGTGCGGTTGATACTTTGGAACCTCAGCTGATGGAGGTGACGTCCGGTCAGGCAAAATACGAGCATCAACATCGCGCTATCGTTTGGAGAATGCCTAGGTTACCGAAAGAAGGCCAAGGTACCTTCTTTGTGATAGATGTTCAACCTTAATGTAGGCAGCCGGTTATTTTTATATTTTTTTCTACAATCCTTTCTAAGGAATTAAGAGCTTCAAACTGACTCGTACACGTCTTGAATAATAATTGTTTGCATTTTGGTTGTCTTAACTGAAGAGTTACTTTATCCTATAAAATACGAATGTAGAATAATATCGATGATATCATTGACAGGAGCATACACGACACACCAATTGATCTGTCGAATGGCCCTAACTTCCTATGATCAGATTCCCGAGAACTTAGCCGAGTACTGTTACGTGGAATTCACGATGCCAGCGACCCAAGTGTCTCACACGACAGCGAGAAGCGTTAGTTTTCAAAATCACGACAGCGACACTCCACCAGAGAAATACGTCAGGAATTTGTCGCGACACGAGTACAGGTACGATCCTCCGACAATAATAAATATTTTACATGTTAAACTTTCGCATTTACTTCGGGTTTCAATCGTATTTTTATTAGAATATCGCACTGGTATTTTAATTTTAAAATTGTAAGAGGTAAGAGGCAGACTTATCGTGCGTTTCCTCTATGCTCTACATATAGTACGCGACAAAAATTTACAACATACAGCTATACAAATATAATATATAAATAAAAAAATGATTATTACTCGTCGTATACCAGAGTTGGAATCGAGCATACGCAAGGAGAAGGTCCAGGCGCATACTTATCTGCGACCTACACACGAAAAATTCCGGAAACGACGCCGGAGACACAAGGAGAAGCTTCAGACGCTGGCGCGGAATCAGATTCCGATTCCTCCGATTAAATCCAAATCAGTCTTGCATAAGGTAACCTGTAACACGTACGGAATTTAAGGAGAATTACTTGTTAATGCTAAGGTATATACAGAAAGCGAAACGATGCCTGTGACTGGACGCGTGACGTTTCACGATTTGCAGCTCCGAATGAATGGACAATTTCCACGCGAGCAAGCGCAACACGTTATTGGAGTAATCGTAAAACCTAATAAAAAGCAATAGTGTATGTGACGTGCTCTGATAAAAAGTTAAGATTCGAGAAAGTCGATCTTGACCTTTTCATATTCTTTCACAGTCAAAAGTGTGCCCCTTTTTTTTATATTATATTAATAAAAATTGCAAATTTTCAAGTGGTTTTAATAACGAAGCAATGAAAGTTGGCAATTATTTATTACATCAATAAAAGTTACAAATTATCACCAAGTAATTTTAGTAATAGGTTATTCTCTTGTATTTCTCCACTATCAGCAAAGTTTTGAATTTTAATCAAATCTTTTGTACGCATGATGAAGTGATTGTACTTGGCAATATCGCACTGCAGAGTGCGCATATCTTTAAACGCGTTTATCTTAAAAACTCGTTTCTATACGTTAATCTCTTTTTACCAAAGCAAGTCACACATGAACCTTGATATCTTCGAACGCACATCGATACTAAGAAGATATAATCAGGATAAATGGTTCGCGTGGGTTAAATCGTTAGTGGCGGCTGCGATCCGTGAAACGCTAAACGTCGACGCGTGTTAAATATAACGCATAACAGTTAACGAAATGTATGTATGAAAGGAGTAATTTGTAAGGGAGGACAATACCGATTTTACGTTCAGTTTAGCTTGCTAAGTAGTAATGCGCACTCGCGGTGAAAGGCTTTGCTCTGCTTAAACTATTTCAAAGTCGGATTAGCGGATTATTAGTTATTGAAGAAATTTAGTAAATTGGGTATGTAAAATTGGTTAAACAGTATTTTTGTTATTTCATTCCATGGATTTATCCGATATAAAAATATCAAAATATATATTTTATTTGGAATATTTTATATTAATTTTGTTTATTCTAATTGCAGCAGTCGATATCTCCGAAGTGTTTTGCTTATTTCACGATTTTATCGTATCAACACGACGATCAGAGGACAATAATTGTTAATTAAGAAAGTCGTTATAACTTGGAAGAACCGTGCGATGCATATCTCATCGTTTGAGCTTGCAGATGATCTATATCAAATGTTATCTAGTCGTTTACCGAAAGGTAGTTTATTCAGATTAATCGTCGGTTATTAGACACGTAAGTAAATAACAATAAAAAAAGATGGTATCGACAATTTTTGCCAAGAGAGGTTAGGAGAGAAACGTATATTATTTGTAATTATAATAGTAAACGCGACGCATGGGAGATTACAGTTCATTAATCTAGTCTTTAATAACATTTTGTTCTTGTACGCGACGCGAGCTGCAAGAATATGTTCAAACGCTTTGCAAATCATATATACATAAGTCTTAGTGTGTAAGTTTTTGTTCGACGCTTTTTTTCTTTCCTATTTTTCCCCCCAAAAATTTCACCGTTGACGCGAGACGGTGGCTCGTCAAAGTATTCTGCGTAAAGCTGATAAGGCTAAATGAACAAAAAAAATCTATTTAACTATGTATAAGGTAGGATAAACAATGCGAAAGATGTTATTAATAATTTTACATAAGATGAACGAAGATCTAGACACGTAAGTTTCCGTTGAGATTTTGTCGATTTTTCGTTAGAAATTTTTCATCCTGCAAAGGAAATCGGAAGAGTCTATTCTAGTCCTTAGCTCATAAGACGATCGTATGACATGTCAGGTGTTGATTCACCGATCATACGTTATGTTAAGTCTATTTAGGTTAATGATAATCCTAATCAATTACGCGTAGAAAAATGTCTGCCGACATGCCAAGTAACGTATAGACAATTCGTGCTACTAATTAATATCGTCGGTTATATATAGATTGTCGCTCTGATCCGTGTCAATGCGAATATGAACGTATCAGGTTGTTCGAAAAATTCGTAGCGAAAGTTAAAAAAGATTTAACTAGAATTCGTCATTTGTAACTTCACGAGATTTTTCTTGAAAAATATTTCTTCTTTTGCTGGTGAATTCCATCAAATAGCTTTTGTGGGTTTTTAAAGTTTTTCATTTACTGTTTATGTCTTTCGAATAAGATTCGTAAAAATTACACTAAAAAAGTTTGTTCTATTAACGAATCTTTTGTATTTCTCTTTGATTCTATTTAGTATCCAACTTGAACCAGCAAGTGTTCAAACGTTTCGTTGTTTATTGTAGATTTACCAAATAAAAACGCTGTAAACTTTTCGAACAACCCGATATTATGCCTTATGTTTATACTATGTCTCAAACTTTCTTCAATGTATCCAATCAAGTACATCAATCAGACAATACCGTTTAATAGTGCCAGCAAATAATGTTCTCTTAAAACTAAAATATTAATATAACTAAGCAATTAATTGATCTACAAGACTGCATAGGTAAAAATGTTACATTGCGTACTTTGAAACAGTGCAAAGCTTTTCCACTTGCGGCGTGACGGTCTGTTTGCGTTGGTACATTAAATGGATCCCGAGAGGATTTTTTTCGGGAAAAATTCGTCTCGGGACCTGACGTTCCCAGCTCGTGATCTCAACTGCGTGTAATATCGTACTCTAGTGCGATATCCAAGAAGGCGATATCCAATTTATGTATTTAAAGGGAAAGGTTTATTTAAACACCTGATGCATGTATAGATATCTTAGGAAAGATATTCAAATTAGAGGTTATGTGTGATATCGGCAAGTCTATTGATGTTTGATAAGCGTGACTGTGAATGAATGAATGGATGAAAGCAAGGGGAAGCATGCAAATTTTTCGTCCCTGTGAGGAGGTCGTAAGTAAAATTTTAATCTTGGACAAAGCTAAAATTTATTTTATTTTCCTTGTAGCTATTTAGGTATTATTTTAAAAAGAATCATCCTTTATCAGTTATTAATCCAATGTTACAAAAATGTTCGATTTTATCGAATAAATCATCCTGTATTACCGAAAGACCTCTCGCTGAAGAACGATTAATTAATTATAATACACGTCAGAAAGAGTGCCTAAGTTCATAAAAGATAGTTACGCGTTTTGCGAAAGAAAATGAATTCTGTTGCCAATGTTGATTCGAAAAGGAATTAACGTTTACCATTTTGAAATGTTTGAGTTTTATAATTGTGTTCGACTTTTAACTAGTTTTCTTTTGAAATTATCACTGGGGATAGAATGCGTCGATAAGGTAGATTTCAATTTAATCTGTACGACCTCCATTCGTTGTTGCTCCAAAAAAATATCACTATCCCAGGTCAAACTTATTCGCGCATTTACATACATGTAATTATTAAGCTATGTAGATTTTAGATATAATCCTGTTAACTCGGCTCTCTAATGATTAATTGTAAAGGAGAAATTAGTAACGTCGTTGTTGTTCTTACAATTATTACTAAGTGAAAAAAATGAAACAAAATGTTCTGTACAGGTAAAGAGAGTCTGTAAAGATTACAGTTAATTGAGTCGTGCTAGGATCGGTAATTAATAGAATTTAGAAAGAACGTCCGTTGTAGTATGAAACGAGCAATGAAGGAACAGAAACCCCTTAAACTGCATTTTTACCTTCCCACGCCATTTTTGGCCACGATAGATCGACCGATGATTTCGTCCGTCGAGCTTTTTATCGAACGTTAAGGAGTAAATCTTTTATAACAGCTGAGAACTATTAATGTTATCAATCATACATACCATATTTATTTCATTTTATTTGTATCGTTTCTTGCAAATTTATGATCAATAAAATTTAAACATTTCAACCTCTTCACCAAACGCAATAACCTGCAATATCAACGAAGAACGGAGTCGAAAATAACGTCGATGATTTACAAAAAATAAAATACCTTAGCATTTTGAATACCCTATAAAAGCAAAGGCATGACTGTTTTAGTTTATATTCGTGTTTACTTATGTAGGTATGTAGCTTAATTAACATTTTAGAGATTCCGTTAATGGTTAGTGTGGTGTATCTACGAAGTTTGATCTCGAAAAGCACATGAAACGAGTATAAAGAAAAAAGTGTTTCGTTACGATTGTTGCGAATGATTTAACGATTGTTACGAATAATTTTGATTGGCATCAAATCTCGAAGTAGATATAAGGAGAAAGAAAAGATCGAGAGTGCGAAAACATTCCCTAAAGAAATTGAGATATAAAGTACCTCTAATCTCCGATCTGTAATTTATAAATATATAAATATACATATAAATATAAATATATACATATATATATATATATACAGGTACACATGTATGTAATGTCGTAATGTGTAATTATACGTGTACGTATGAATTGTAATTGTAATCTAATAGTAACCAATTGTGGTGTAGACAAGTGACAAAGAAGAAAGGAAAAGATGATTAGGGCAAGTTTGCTCTTTGATATATATGTATTATAATTTCGTAAACACACACACACACACGCGCGCACACACACACACACCCACACACACACACGCAAGGAACGAGAAAATGAAAATTTTCGAGGAAATAGAAACAAGTGTAATACTGTTAGCTAATGGTATTATTGATAAATTCTATGTATCAATAAATAATATAACATTGTTTAAGGGACGAAATTGGGTTAACTAGAAGTCGATTATTTTATAAGAATCTCATTATTGAGTCTACCATTTACCGGCTGAAATTACACTAATACCGATAACACTCAATTTTTTAAAGTCTTTTTTTAAATTTAGTATCACCACAAATTTTTCGTCAAGAAATGTCTATTCATCATTAAATTTTATCCATCCTCATTAAATTTTTATCCATTTGTTAGTAATTGCTCATTATATCTCGATTGAAAATGAGGCGTCTCTTTATGGTGTCATCGTGATTATTCAATATGTTGGTATATAAGTATTTATAATATCATTGAATTATAGATACGCATTTCGCAATGTGTGTTAAAAATTCTCTTTCTATTGCGTTAATCAATTTCCTTTTCCCTTGACACTGAAATTCTTAACGCGTTCTAATTGAATTGTTTCATTGAGAATACATTAGCATTAAACACCTGCGATCATAAACAGACAGCATAAAATCTCATAAATTCCACGAATAATGTTAGATATTCATCAATCAAATATTTTTTATTTGCCATGTTATTTTAATTCAACAGTACAATGCTGCAATACTATTCAATATGTATAATTATAAGAAAAGGGGATATATATTACTATCATAAACTTCATGAATATTAACATATCATTATTAAACATTTCGTATAAATAAATAATCATCATATATTCTTCAAATCCTATTTCCTATTTAGCACATTATCTTAATTCAACATTACAATACAATACTGTATGATGCTATTCTCTCATTGGCGGAATTCGCGAAGCCACGTGACCGCGGCGAAGAGATACGCATGTGCAATGTAGCGAGCGCTGTGCGGGAAGAGTAGATCGAGCTCCCGCCACCTCTACCGTCGTAACTAGTAGTGTGGCTCAGCTGTTTCTGTTTACTAAACAAAGGAGCCAGAAATCAGTTCAACGGTGGACAGCGAGCGGGACACGTTCGTGTGTCCGTCAGCGACACCACATCTCTTTTCTAACCCTTTTTGACCACCCAACAGACCGATCTCGCTTCATGATCGCAGACGAAAATCGCGAGTGCATCTAACCAGGATATTGCTCGGAGCCTCATCAATCGCTAAACCACCGGATACCCGAGCGATATCAGAGGGCCAAAGCACGTAGCAAGAGGAGGAAACAGTGAGTTTATCTTCTCGTATAAAATAATAATCTGTTTGTCATTAGCTTAGTTGTAGGATCCTTGACCCGATTCCTTCATGGTATTCTTGTACTGCGTCTTCGTTCCGCTCTCATTCAATCTTTCCAAACTCGTGTTCGATCGATCCACCTAAGTAACATGCGTTTAATATAACGTTGTTTTGGTTATATCACCGACATAAATATTTCATTCGTTTTAGTAACAAGTTGTAAGCGTAAGTCCCTGTTACAAGATTAGAACGTGTTGCGTATCGGAAGACTCATGTATGACGATATGTCAAAGATATGATTCAGATATAGTAATAGTCACAATGCGTATGTAGTGATTGTTATTTTTTAAGGTTATCCCTTTTCTTTCAAGATTCTGAAATAAATAGCATACAGTTGAATATAGATAGATAATATTTTGTTGACTTGTGCGCTCGAACCTTACATAATCATTATCAGCTGTACGCGCGCAATCTACTACGCTTCTAAACAGCGTGTCTTGACAGCTGTTAGCGTCGCATTTTCATTATTTTCAATATTTTTATTATGGTTTCGTTATTCTTACGTCACTGTTTTACTTACGCCGTTTACTTCGATCATAACTGTATCAGATTAGACTTAAAGCTAATATTTTATATGTTGACATTTTTTAAGGGCTGGTTTGTAATGCGTTGAAGGATTGTCTGATTTATCGACAGTGGAGGCGACGGTTCATTGGTCGTAGATTATAGGTGTCGTTAGGTATAGTTCGTAAATTCGTCTTCCACAAATAAAAACGTATATACAATATGTGTAGATGATCGAAGTAATTAAATTGTAATAGAAGAACAAATTAGAAGTTTCTTTTATTAACCTTCAGAGTACGTTACAACATAAAGTCCAACGATAATAGAGCGTGAAAGAAGATCGGACAAAGAAGCATTAATCGTGAGAATTGCGTCGTTCCTTGTCTACTAACCTCAAGGCCAACGCAATTGAAAGGAACAGTACTTTAACACGTTCGGACATAAGGTAGCGCGAATTTATGCAGCATTAAACAGCAGCGTTTCGAATACAGATTTTATGTCATTAATTTCTCGATTCTTAATTCTCTTTGATTAACTTATTTACTGCTATACTCTCCATTTTCGATAATTATTTCAAAAAATGAGTATCTCTTTTATTTGAAATAACATATTTTAATACTTAATTTTTCATGATAATTCATAACAAAATACAAATGTTCGATGCTTCGTAATTATTCTGGATTGTGAAATCAATGAAATGAAACATTAGCGATAATACGTCATTATTATCGTGTTCTTTGTAAAAAATTAATCTCTTCGTGGAGATTATTCAATAAAAATTTCCATTTACAGGACTTCTATCGGTCACTTTACACGCTGTGCTTACGGAAGACGTAGATTATGTAAACGAAAGCGATTCAACTCCACGAATAATGCTTCTATAAAGTTTACGATTATAGTAGATGCGTTTCCACGTCGAAAATATTCGCGTAAATAAATGATTAGAAAGCAACGTGCGCGGTCGTGCATTATTTAATCAGAGTATAAATGGACAAACTTTCAATCGATCCTCAACTATAGAAAGACAATGATTTGTTATGTATAACGTGTCGTTCATATGTGTATAATAATATATACATTTATATGTAATATATAGATATATATGAACGAAAATAATATATAAGATATCAATATCATCAAACGACATCTCAGTCATATCAGTATAACATATTACATACACATATGAACGAGGATATGTCTTCATTATTTAAAACGCTATGAAACGGGAAGTAATTAATTTACTCATTCGTTAACATAAAAATTACGAATGGTTTTTTGTATTACCGTTTCTTACCAACGAACATTCTAAAAGAAACAGGAACTACCCGTATTTTTCTTCTTCATGGAAAATGATTTCTCCAAGTGGATAAGTAATTATTCTTCCATTTTCGAATTAAGATTTGCCTGATATTGTTTTTATATCTCGATTAATTCTCAAAACATGCTTCACGGTGAGCAGCAAGACAAAGGAAAAAGAAAACAGAGTTTCAGAGAAAGTGAGATTCCGCGTATCGGGGAAGCGATCGATCGATTTGGAACGACCGACCGCAAAGATCGAAAGAGACTGTTCTGTTTTCTGTTCACGTTAAATCGTTGATCCGTGTCGTGCAAGCGACCAACTTGAACCATCGTCGTTTGTTCGGAAGGGAGAGGCCCTGGTAGTCCTGGTACCAATCAGACGCGCATATACTCTCGTATATACATACATAGAACATACGGTGCTCGATGTATCTCTTGGTTTTCACACACACGTCAATAATTGCCGTGCACCGATGCGAGGCACGCTCTTAAAAGCCGAGAAATGAACAAAGAATAGGTGCATTGCGCTTACAGAGTTTCCCAATCTCGTTTTTCAGCTCGACTTTGTCTCGGTTCAACCTGTTAGAGTCATCTAAAAAGAAAACAACATGGTGAACTTAGTTGGTATTCAATATCGTTTTCATTTCTAATATTCTTTATCATCTTAATTATTATTATTTAATATCTTTATAATATTATGTAATATATTATGATGACATACATATGATATATTATAATATACTAGTAATATATATGTATTCTCAAATAATTAATATTCTTTATCATTTTTTTATTGGCTAAGTAATTCAATTAACCTTGAATTATTCACTAGCTTCATCGAATGTCTCATTATACTTTAGTTAACGATGAAGAAAACACGTTTTGCACGTGATAAGTAAACGTTTTAACGGAATAGAAAAATGGTTGGGAAACGCTGATATGTACTCTCCTGGTGTATATGCACGATAAAGAGATAGATCTTCTAAGCGTGTATCGTAAATACGTTGGTGTAGAGGTATATTGCTGTAAGTGCGTAGCTGATATATCTATACACGTGCATAATGCTCGAGTCGTGAGCAGAACGAACGGCAACCTTGGGCAACCAAGTAATATTCCGAGAGGCGGGAGAGCATTTGCGCAGTATACACCAGCCGCCAGCGAACTTTCGTCGATATTTCCTTCTACTAGCTTGTTCCTCCGGCAAAGAATAGATCTCCATCATCGATTTCCTCAATAACCCCCTAAGCAGAACTGAATACGATCTTTTCTTTGTCTTCATTACGAAGAAAGAAATCATATAGTGAAATAATAAAGTTCACGAAAGTATTTGAACACTTACCATAGAAAAATTTTATGTCCCTATTGTGTCTGTTACGTAAAACATTTTAATATTCCATTGGTATTATAATAACATATGATTATATCGGTACAATTTGAAATCTGAAATGTATATACAAGTTGCAAGATATTTACTGTAAACTTATATTTAGTAAGAAATTAGTATATATCATAAATAGCCTTAAGCATATACAATATTTGTTAAAGATAGACCAACTGAATATCGAGTTTTATTAATGTAATGGATAATTGACTGTTTAAATATCTTTGTCATCTCTGTGAATTATATACTTGTAGATGCTAAATATCTTGTAATTTCTATATGTATTTTCAGACTTGTTTCATATTTGATTAACATAATCATGATAGCCAAGTCTCATAACAGTGTTAATGCAATTTAAAAATATTTTGTATAACGCACATAATATGTTCATAAAATGTGGCTAGAAATAAGCCACTGTATATTTCATCTTAAAGATCTGTACGCTGTTTTTGTCTCGCCTCCAGCTAGAAAGTATCGTTTATCAGTTTTTATTATTTCCTATCGCTCCCATGAAAAACATTAGGAGGAAATTATAGTAGAAATGTTTCTCTTACTTGAGAGGGTCAATTCTAAGTTTTTCCGCTTCACATATCTCGCGATAGAACTTTCTAAGTCTTCACATTGCAAAGAAT